TTGAGAAAATATAATTGGAAGGATTGTTATAGGCATTGAGACATTTCCGTGATGCATAAACGACAGAAGGGGACACAATAGATCTTTTAGGTCGCAGTGTATTAACACCCCATTCCCAACATAACACAGTAAGAAAACTGCAAAAAAATGAAATGCGCCAATCACAGTTCATATTTTGGACACCCAACTACTATTATTTTTAAAATTTTAAATTCTGTCAGTATATTTTTTAGTCATTAAGATTACATACGTTAAAATTAGTTATTTTTGTTTATAATCGATAAAAAATTACATTTTTATTTTTATTTGGGCCACATTTAAAAAAAATGAATTTTAATCAAATTGTATGAAACTGATTTAATTACGAGTATTAAAACTAAAAACCTGGAGTGGAGTGGAGCAGAGGACAGAGCATCTAGATTCCATGCGAATAGCCTGGGTTCGAATCTGGACAAGGGGCTTATTTTATGTTTATTATATTTTATAAATTAATAAAATTCATAAATTATTTTAAAATTAGTTATTTTGTCTAAACCTAAACAAATTTTTTAAATTTTTATATTTTCCTTAGTGGTTCATAGAAAAAATATAATGTACAACTCGAGTGAATTGTCCATATCTACTCTTGTTGCACAAACTACTATTTCATGACTGCGAAAATGAGGAAATTTTTTTAATGAATTATTGTGATGAAAATTTTTCAGGTTTTTACTTGACATAAATATATATTATATATAATATTTTATCCATTTTCATAGATTCGCCAGAATTTTTTTACTTAACTTCAGTATACCTCTAGAACTATTATATATTATATGACTAGGGCTAGGGCTTTAGCCCCCCAGATCTGATGACATAACTTCGCCCATGCCCTGTTGAAGTTCTCAAGTTTATTGCTACACTTAAATTCGCAGCAAACCTCAGCATAGCATTAAGAATCCTACTTACATTGCCAGTAACTGTGACTTCAGGGGAAAGAAGCTTTTCAAAATAAAATAATAAAAAATTATCTCAGAACGATGCAGACGTAAAATCGTCTCAATGGATTGGCAATGATAGCTATAGAACACCAAATTAGTGACAAATTATAGACTTGAAATCACTGGTTCGTGAGTTTGCTGAAGGAAAAGTTAGAAAAAGGGCATTTTAATTACTTTGGTTAGTTAGAATTTATTTATAATATGGGATATTAGTTTAGTTAGCATTACTACATTTTAATTTTTGTTATTTCGCCTTAAGTGCTAAATTGCTTATCTTGAGTATTTAATAAAACGTTTTTTTTAATTTTTTTTTTCAATGTTTTCTTGACATTCTATAGCATGAGGTTTACTTAAAAAACGGGGGGGGGGGGCAAAATTAAGGTTTTGCCCGGAGCGTCAAAATGTCTAGGGCCGGCCCTGCTCCCATTGACTTAATTTCAGTCCATTTGACCGGAGTGCAAGGTTAATGATTTTCCAGATGATGCCGCTATACCGTTCCACTTGTTCATTGCCTTGAGGATTGTAAGAAGTAGATCTACTAGTGGCAATACCTTGAGTGTCTAAGTATGATTTGAGTTCATGAGAAATAAAAGATGTACCTGTATCAGAGTGGATATAGGAGGGTGTACCGAAGATGAATAATTCTCTCAAATGATTGATTACTTTAGATGAAGCAGTGCTGATACATGGAAAAACAAAGGGAAACCTAGAGAATTCATCAACTACTGTTAGCATGTACGGTTTATATAGCACCTTTTACTCAAATATCTTCTCGTAAATGCTTTACAAATTTCTTCTCAACTCTAAAAGGCTCTTGTTTCCTTCTTTAAAATGATTTATAATCATGTACTTTTTACTAAAAACTTCCTATAGCAAATCCTTTTTTCGAAAATGTAGACTCTTTTAGTAAAGCCCTTTGACTTTTTTGCTCTTGGTTGTTTTTAATGTTTGTAAGAAACCATCTCGACTGCTTTTAAATGTAGAGTGGACAAAACTGCAATTAATTTAAAAATGGTGAATGATATTTGCAGAATAATTACTCTAAAATCTTACCATTAGGCTTTAATTTCAGTTTATTAATTTATTCTAACGATTTTTTTGTGTAAACAGTAAAAAATGTTTGCCAACACTAAAATTACGGCTCGCTCCAGATTTTCCAAAATTTCAAGATATTTCGTGATATAATTAAAGTGTGATCCGAATTTAGCAAGGAGGCCGTACCCTAATCCAAAATGTTTAAAATAAACCATTCACACAATAATTTTTCTCTTTATAATTAAAATAAAAAGTAATTCATTTAAAATTTGATGGAAATCATTACACGATTTTGCCGTTTTGTGGCTTGTCTTTCAAAAAATCAAATTGCCGATATAAAAACTCCAACGCATGTGTATAGTCCAAAAATAAAAATATAAACACCACCAAATATTAATAAAATATTAGATTTTTTAAAAAACTAATTTACGAACCGCAGCAGAATATTTTCTGTCTATTTTATTTTGCATTCCGTGACGTCAAAGTCTTCCTTAGCAACGGATGAGGAGGCCACCGCGTTGTCTACGAACCGTGGGTTTTGACAGGTTATGATATAGAAAAATCTGATGTGTCCAACACATGACTTTCCTATCTAGTTATTATAGGCATTTTCCGGTTATTTTGTACAACCTATTGCAGCATCTCTATTAATGTTTAGAGGATAAACTAAATATATACATTTTACACATACATCTACCTCGAAACATTTTTCTATAGATATTCATTGAAAACGAAAATACAGAAAAATTTAAATTTAGCACTTTTCCATTACGGACCATTTTAGAAAAATCATGTATAAACAAAAATTATAGAAATCGATATCGCAAACAACTTTTAGTTCAACAATTTTCATAAAAATCAGAATTTTGCACATTTTGTCAAATTTCTCGAATACGGACCATTTCAGGAAATTTTGACATAAAACAAAAATTATAGATAATAATATTAGAAGTAACTTTTATTTGAACAATTTTCTTCTCCAAACATAAATAGCAGATATATTCCATAAAATATAAAAACGGCCTCCCATAAAGTACCCCCCCAGATGTTCCAACTTTGTCCAAAATCTAATCATTTCACGTCAGGCCGAAATAAACCTTAAGTTTAAAATTTAATGTTTTTTCCTTTATCCGTTTTTGAGTTTTCTTCAAATTTCGAAATTTACACATTTTCTCAAATATCTCGAATACGGTCCATTTTAGAGAAATTATGTATAGGACAAAAATTATAGAGAATTATATTATAAACAACTTTTATTTGAACAATTTTTATAAAAAATTATGTTTTTTACATTTTGTCAAATTTCTCGAATACGGACCATTTTAGGAAAATTTTGCATAAAACAAAAATTATAGATAATTATATTAGAAGTAACTTTTATTTGAAGAATTTTCTTCTCCAAACGTAAATAACAGATATATTCCATAAAATATAAAAATGACCACCTATAAAGTACCCCCCCAGATGTTCCGACACTGCCCAAAATCTAATCAGCTCATTGGACGCTGAAACAGAGCTTAAGTTTAAAATTTGGTGTTTTTCTGTGTATCGGTTCATGAGTTATGCGTTATACAGACACACACACACACACACAGACACACAGACACACAGACACACACACACACACACACAGACATCATCGCGAAAATAGTCAAAACGGATTCAGGGGACCTCAAAACGTAAAAATCCGTCGAAAACTCGAGGTCGAAAAAAATCATGATTCCTATACTTTCCTTATATCTGTATACAGATAGGAAAGTAAAAATTATGGCAACCCTATAGGCCTGGTCAATGAAATAGATAGTTACATAGATTGATCATCCATTCTTTTCAAAATAAACATAAGCTTATGCTTTGAAGTAAAAATGTAGGTAATTCTTTTTTATACTATAGTCAAAGGTTGAATATTGGTTTGTAAACACATTTTTGTAAAATCGATTCTGATTAATGAGCACTTGCGAGGCAATATGGCCGCTCGCAAACGACCCGCATTGGGCAATCTATATAACTATATATGTATCGTTGACTCACAGGGTTGCCATATCTAAAGGTCAGTTCCCACTTGTCAGGAGTTTGACAGTTCGTTGGAATGCCTAGTTAGATTTAAATATGCAAAAGCCTACTTTCGATAGTGATCGTAGAAAAAAATAATTACCTACAATTTTACTTCAATGCATAAACTTATGTTTATTTTGAAAAACATAATAAATTAAAAGTAAGTTGTCAGTTGTCGTTTTGTAGCTTTCTTCACTATACTAAACTAAAAATTCTAAAATAATTCCTGCTCACAAGTAAGCATTGTTTGAACATTTCTAGAATAGTTCTAAAATAATTCGATGAAAAAAACAGAATTTTACGTCACCTCCTGTTCTGAACTGATTCTAAATTTACCAAAACACTTTTAAATCACTGCACATGTCAGAACGGTTCTTAAATTGAAACCAAAACAAACCTATTACAAACTTTAGGAGCTGAACCGTGCACCTATCATTTAACGCCAGGTTTCATTCGCCATATTCAGGGTAAAAGAAAAGTTGGAACCATATGGAAATTGGAACTGTATGGAAAACTTTTTTATTATTGGTTTTGTGAGAAAAATTATTCTTGATAAAAAGTTCTGCATGATCCAAAACTTAAAATTCAACTATCACGTATTAATTTTTTTAAGCCGTATACGAGGATTTTTGCTGAATAGTAAAGAACCTTTATTTTTGACAAACCTCGTATACGACTAATAAAATTTGATATCCAATAGTTGTATTTCAGGTTTTAGAGCATGCTCGTCTTTTTATGAAAAATAAGTTTTTTCCTAAAGTTAGTAATAAAAAAGTTTACCATATGGTTCCAACTTAGTGAGACATATTTATATAGGTGGAATAGATTTTGAATTTTATATTCTCACAGAAAATAATTCAGTCAAAAAAATTGGGTTGACTGGTTATCGGTGACACATGGAAAATTTATAATTTATGTTCAATACTTTACCTGTGAGAAATTAGTGAGGAAATTATAAGATAACTGAAGTTCCGTGGCGTATGTAGTTTCATCAAAAGCTTTCTTTGGAATATCATATAATTGATTGTACGACAAATCCAGTACAGTCATATTGGCACAATTTTCAAATGCCCCATTTTCAATTTTAGTTATCTTGTTCTTCGATAAGTTTATATTAGTTAAATACAGCGCTTTAAAAGCAAGTTTTTGTATTTCTGTTACCTGATTTTCAGAAACATCTAAAATCTAAAAAAAATATTTATTTCTGTAACCGACTAAACCAAAAGGGAAATATTTTTTTTTACCTCAATAAAGTTAAGATCGAAGAACATTTGATAATCGATTTTTTTCAGTTTGTTCCTAGCTAAATCGATTGTACCGATTCTTTTTAAAGAACCGAAAGTTCCTCTACCAATATCGCTAATTTCGTTATCAGCAAGGTATACTCTTCTTAAAAATCTCATCCCTCTAAATGAATTTTGGTCCAATTTTCGTATCTTATTTGAAGCCAAATTAAGTACTTTTAGCACAGTATTTCTGGCAAAAGCTCCTCTGAAAAAAAAATAATAAAATCAATGAACATACGGTTTTATATTCTTTAATTGTTTGTTTAGATAATAATGATCTTCTATTCATATAGCCTCAAATTTGACGTCGCATCTTCCAATTTTGCAATATTAGTACCTACCCAGCTAGCGAATAACGTTGCCAAGCCTTTCGGCGATGTTGTTGTTTTTTTTTTTGGCATAGGCACATTGCCATTCAGCCAGACACAGATTCGTCCATAATTAGAATTACCCAAGAATATTTCCTAACAGCAAGAGGTGTAAGAAGAAGAAAAACAATAAACAATATAGGACGGGGACACTCGCTTCTCGTCCAGGGACCCATCAGGACGTTTTTTTTTTTAATAGACAAACAAAATTAGGCCTCGGTAAGAGGGTAAACAAATAGGTAAAATACAGAGGAAACAAGATTAAGATTCCAATTATAGACGAATCTTGGTGTCTTTCAGAAATTGTAAGAAGCAGTTGATAATATCATCAGAAAAATGTGTTAAAGTTGTTTCAATATTTAAGGGGGATGGAATGTTATTTTTTATAAGATTCATATAAAGCGTGTTTGGCGAGTTCATCAGCCTTTTCATTTCCTTGGATACCTTTGTGTCCTCGTACCCACGCTAGTTTTACCTTGTTGTGGGTTGCCAGATCATTTAGTATTCCAAGGCAGTTCCAGACAAGCTTTGACTTAATTCTGTTTGAATCTGAGAGAATTAGGATGGTTTGTTTTTTGTACTTCCTTCTTAAATTCTCTCGTACACACAATTCGATTGCATGTATTTTAGCCTGAAATACAATGGCATATTTTCCCAGTAAGACGATGATGTCGCATTTGGGTTTAACTCCATTTACGCCAGAGCATGTTCCCTTGTTAGTTTTAGATCTATCCGTATACCATACGAGACCGCTACGCAAGTATTTATCTATCTCCTTATTTACCTCGTTCCACTTACAGTTGACCTGGAAGAGTCTGTTAAAGGTTAGGAGGGGTGTTATGTGATCTGATCCCATAATTAATATAGAATCATTTACTTCATGTGTTATTCTGGTATATTTTATGTCCCAGTGGGTTCCAGTTGTTGAAGATTTCCAGTCTGTATGCACTTATTCTGGCCTCCCTCTTTATGACTAGGTCAAGGGGTGGGAGGTTTAGAATGATTTCCATAGAGGCTGTCGCTCATAAAACTACAATTTTTTACTTACCTGGTGATTTCTGTAAATCTGTTATTAGAAACATTAAGCCAACCCAACTTAGTCAAATCTGATAAATGAGAACCATCAATTTTGGGAATTTCGTTGAAGCTCAAGTCCAATATTTCAACGTCTCTTAAACCTTTAAATTGATTCTTCTTCAGAGCTTTTATTTGATTTCCATGTAAATCAAGAGTTTTCAACTTCCTTAACGGTTGCAAGCTTTCAGGTAAAGGTGTTGTAAGATTGCCGTCTGTTATATGCAGCTTTAGAAGAGTCCCCGTCATATTACTGGATGAAAATGCATCTTTTGGCAGTTCGCTCATTTGATGAGTACTTATGTTTAAAATAGTTAAGCTACCCAAAATCTAAAAAAAATAAGTTATTATATATTTTTTAACTTTATTATTTACAAGATTTACTTTGAACCAAATAATACTAAATTGTGTTAAAACTAACTTTAAAAGCTGATGTAGGAAATTCCTTTAAACTAGTATTTTTTAAATATAGTTCGTTTAAAGTGTTGTTAATACCAAGAAAAGTATGTTCATCAATTGTTTCTATTGGAGTGTCTTCGATCAACAAAACTCGTACATTTAATTTATACAACAAGCTTCCAAATAATCTTCCTACAAAATAAAAACGAGCATAAAAAACTTTGCTTAATAACATGGGTCATTTACTAATTTTTATTACAAATTCAAAGTGTTTAATTATTTTTTTCTTTCTTTGCAATTCTCCAAATACGAGGTGTAACCCGTTATTTTCCAAAATTTATCAGTCCCAATCAAAGTCACATTTAAGGGCGGGCGTGGGCAATGTATTTAACATAGGCATACACAACGCTCTTTCAATGACTTTTTAGCTGAAACTACAACAAAGAGAAAAGTGAAAAAATTCCTGCCGATAATAGATATATACTACTGTTCAATAAAGGTTTTTGGTGTCTCTAACTATCAGGGATCGTTTAAAAATAATTCCCAAAATATGGTAATTTTTACGATGAAATAAAGCTAAAAATATACCAGTAATAATTACCCGATGATGAAAATAATTCTTCTTTGAATAGGCTATATACTAAAGCAACAAATGTCGTTTAAAATATTTAAATTAATTGCGTCAATTTCCTTAAAAGCTCATTGAAGTAAATTTTGGAAGAAATTATAAATCGCCATTTATACGTAAAAATTTCATAGAATATAAAAGAAAACTTCTTAAAATTCATACAAGTAGCCACAGGTTAATTCGGAGCTTCTCTAATAGATGGCGCTAAAGTCGACTCGAAATAAATTCAAATACGCAAGTTCTTATTTAGGAGTTTACTAATTAATATGCATATTATTTCAATTATTAAACATATTTAATATTTGCGTAAGAGCATGAAGGATATGTAAGTAATGAGAGAAAGCCTCTTTGAGATATTGATTTTACGTTTTGTGGTCCGGAAAATGTCTGTACGGAAGTGGTAAAAATTTAGAAAAACGACTAAACGGCCTCTTAGCAAAAATCGATTGCTTGCTTATATTGTTGGATATCGGAGCCAGAGTGTTAATGGTGCCTTTAGTTGTTTTATAAAATTGAATATTTCAAATAATTATACAAATCTAATATGCTTAAATGTATTTTTTTTTTTTAAATTAGGTTTTAACTTTCATGTATCCAGTAAAATATAGGATTGTTTTTTTTTTCGACTTCTAGTTTTCAACTGTACTTTATTATAGGTTTCGAAGATAATTCAAAAATGAATAAACAGTAAATTTTAAACTTCAAATTTAATCTAATAAAAGTTTATAGATTTGAAAAATAGATATTTAAAAAATATTTTTGGATATACAGGGTATTGCGTTTTTCCTGGCAAATAAAAATGTATGTATTTTATTTTTAGAATATTTTAGTAATACTGTATTCAACCCTTGAATATTTTTATAAAATATTACAGTATTGCCAAGCATTATTTTTTTTTTTTGAAATTAGAGAATGATGCTGACCGCAAATTAAATTATCATAATTTAGGTAGGTTTACATTGATCTCAAAATTGTTTAATATACAGACTTATAAGATACTAAGCTAACGAATAGTGGACATAGAACTGATTTTAAGTTCAATTTACTCAATTTTTAAAATGCATCATCGTGTATATTATCTTATCATAACATTCCTTAAAAATTTGTCTATACAACGATACCAATATGTTAGCCAATAACACATGTACAGTGTGTATATTTGATAGATAGCTGTTTTATTATTAGAAAAACGACGAAATTTTTAGTATAAAAGTTGTATGACTATATTTAACAATTATTTCTAAATATACAGGGTGGTCCATAAACGAGGTGCGAACCAAATCTATACTTTTTAAAAGCAAAACACCCTGCAGGTTGTTTGTTATAAGTTATAGGATTTCGTTTAAAATTTTAATTACGGATTTGTTGTTGCAAGAAGCAAAGACAAAAATGGTATCAAAATAAGGATGTGCTTAATCCTCGCCAAGTCAATATGCTTGTTGATTCAACAAACAGGATGAAAATAAGAGGTCAATGTTTTAATTACATATTTCATGTTTAACGCTGAGACAGAGAACAAAACGAATGGCATTAGATGAAGAATGGGTGGTTACTTTAGTGGAACAGCCTAATAAATTTGATGTTTTTAAATATGTATCATCGAAATTAACTTCTATATCAACTAAGGAAATTTACAGTGCAAAAGTAGAGGCCTTAAAATTAACAGTAGACGAAAAGGGTCAAACGACTTTTTAGAGTTTTTTAAGAATTGTTGATACTCCAGATTTTTATAAAGAAAATACAATGGACAAAGACAATCAACAGAAAACTCAAAAATTTATTAGCAAAGGATGTGGGTAGAAGCATTAATTATGCCGAAATATTTTAAGTTTGAGCTGACAGCCTCTCCGATGCATCTAACAGTAAATGGGTATCTCGGCACCTCCACAAATAAGAGTTCATTGGGAAATATTTTAGAACAATATGGCATTTACTCACAAAGACACTTACTTGCACCTATTAACACATTTTTGATGGGATGGCAATAGTCCAAGGTTTGGGAAAGTCCAAAAGTTGTATATCATTTAAAGAATATGCTAATGTATTTGTAAACGTTATTTTTAGAAATAAATTTAATGCTTAAAGGATTGATGTGGTATATGATCATTATAAAGAACATTCTATCAAAAACTTACATCATGCAAATGCAAAAAAGGTACTATACACCGATAATTTTCATAGATGTACAATATTCTAATAATATTATTCTGTTCTAGACTAAGGAAGCAAAATTTGTAAATGCAGGAAAAAAATATTGGCTGTATCGGTTCCTGCACCTACCTGTATGGCACAGAAAAACTGCAGCAAAAGTTTGATCACAGCCGCTAATGTTTTGGAAAATGTTGATTCGTGTGGTGAATCTGATTCTGATTAGTTTAAAAGCCTTGTACAGCTAAATACCGCCTATTATAAAAAAAAAACGTTTCAGACGAAAGTTTTATAGTTTTGTGGGGAAAAATTTTTGCTAAAATCGTTTTTTTCAGCTAACCATAATATGGCCAACTTTTTTTTCGCCTACCAAAATTTTTAAGTAGCTGTTACTCAAAAAGTGAAAGTCGAATAAGAAAATTATTTCCATCTAAAGTTTCTTATTTTTTTATGTACTTTAAGAATATTTACAAAAAAAATGGGGTTCCCATTTAAAAAACAAAGTCCACCTCGATATGGCCATATTATGATCAGCTATAAAAAAAAAATTTTAGCCAAAATGTTTCCCCCAAAAAACTATAAAACTTTCGCCTGACACTTTTTTTCTAAAATGCATATTTTCGGCGGTATTTAACTATAACACTTTAATTTGAACACCCGGTATTCTTTTAATTATTATTATTATTATAATGTTTTTTACATTGGGAATTTATTGTATTTTGCAAAGCAATAGCCTTACTGTTAATAATCGATACTTATATATACTGCGTCTATACCTTCAATAAATAGTTCATATTTTATTTTTTATTTTCCTCAAAAAATACAAAAATAAATCATAGCGTATAAATCAATGATCCCTGAATAAAATAATATGAGAGAGTCAAACTGATTGCATACATTTTAGCACTGAGAGAGAAGAAAGAGAGTCGAGAAGCTTTACCTTCAATGTTTGCTTTCTAGTTAAACCATGATATAACTAATTGTTTATTGCTATATTTTTGTTAATATAAAAGCAAAAAATATGGGGAAAGCACTGTTACTTTGATAATATATAGGCGAAACATTTATGAAGAATAGTTTTTTCTCATTTAGGCCTTTGTTTTTCGTCAAATGAGAGGTATATTTCTAAAAAAAGATTTTTTATACAAATTTGTGGACGGTTGAAACCGAGATATTGACGTTTAAATTTTTTTTCGACCATAAGGGCTAATGCAAATGATTTTTTTTAAATAATTATAAAAAACACTTCCTACAAAAACCTAATTGTGCATTAGAACAAAAAAATAAGCAATTTTTTTTTCTATATGGTGGTATCAATGATAGTGCCCTTTTGCACTGTCTAATTTTGTATTACCTCCGGAATAAGGGTAAGCTTATCATGTACTTTCATCCCTGAAAAATTCAGCTGGTGACACCGAAGTGGGAGGCAAAGTCAAAAAAATTTTAATTTATACCATATAACAGCCCGTACCTGTGAGTTTAGAAGAATACATTTTTATTCGCAGATGCGAAAATGGAGAACGTATATTTGTTACTTAGTTGCTAACTAGAGGCAGCACCTCTCGGATAACTTTATTTTGTCTCTCTCTGGGAGGACTTGTTCAGACTTCTCTGTTCCAATGCACGCCCTTAAAGCAGTCATTATGAATCAACCGATACCTATATCGGTATATCTTTTTCATATGTAGAGTATGATATCGACCTGTATCGGTATCAGCCTGATAGAAATAATAATTAACTATTTCAATTGCTAAGAATTTTTAAAGAAATTAAAACCCAAATATTAAATAAAAGTAGATCTTATTGACACTTGCTGCGATTACAAAAAATGTCACTATATGTCAAAATTAGAAAAAATTATATTTTTAGTTAGAATTTAAGAAAACAAACATTTAAAATCTAAAGTGTAAAAGTTAAAAAATCATATTTATAATATTTAAAGTCAAGTTTTGATACGTTAATACGGAACAAAATTCAACTTTCCAGGGCTGGTATATCTAAGGGGGTCGCGACATAGTAGTCCATTTTGGACGCCATTTTTTTCGAAATAATAGTCGCCCATTGATCTGTCAACGTAGCAACCTCAATGACATATATAGTTTAAATAGACTGCTTATCCATACGTAAATAAAACGATGAAAAGTGGGTCGAACTGGGAGATGTTTTCTCTTTGTCTAGTGCATGCAATGTTTGTGTTTTGTCTCAATTTTGAGTGCTCACTGGTAAACAAACCTTTCACAGGACCGGTTTTAAAGAAAGTTTAGTCTAGTTGAGATTTTGTTCTCATTGTCATTACTCAGTCGGACATTTTGTTGAATTGTTTATTTTATTTAGTTTTATTTATACTTATGTTCTGTTTTAAGTTTTTTAATTATTTGAGTATAAAAACTTGTTTTGTTTTTAAATTTAAATGGTG